AAATAGAGTTTTGGCATTATAGCTGATGTCAGTTCGTGATGAAAACCCTAAGTATAATTCCTAACCTTAACCATGAGCTGTAAATCACATTTTGAATTCTTCACACAAGTTTGTAACCTTATTTAGTCTTAGTTATTATGTTGACACATTCAGAGTCACACTAGCGTCGCTCAAAGGTCGTCCATAATTTATAGTCTCATCCTTAACCCTAAACCATAACCCTAAACCTTAACTCTAACCCTAAATCCAAAACCATACCAACAACATTGAAGCTATGTGGTCGAGGCTAAAAGAATTTTTGAGACCTTATCATGGTTCCAGAGGTCGACTACTATGGAGCCACATGGATGAGTTCCTGTACCGAATGCACTATGATTTTAGAACTTCTGAACATATATCTAACCTTGATAAGTTTTTGAGTCATGTAAAAGAACAGTATCCCCTTTAATTTTTGACTTTTGTATAATATATTTTTACTGTATACTAACTGTCTTCTGATTGGCTAGTATTTCTCAAGGTCATTTTCGATTCGTTCAAAGGTCGTCCATGTAGTTTAGTCTCGCCGATCACTTTAATTAAAGTTAAATATGATAGGTAGTTTCCGGAAACTAGGAACGTATGGACTTTTCGAGAAAGGTAGATGTGTCGTAGATTTCTAAAAACAAATTTAACAAAAACTAACAATAATAGATAGTCGGAGTTCACTGAGTGTTTCATCACAGAAACTCAAAGGCTGGAGAAATATTGAAGAAGACAATACAAAATTGACTGTATGAGTGTGGCGTGTGCTACTGATATCGACAGATATCTGTAGTACATATCATCAATCGAAAGTGAATTGTCTGGCGCAGAAGGTTAAGAAAATAGAAGAAAAGAGAACGGGAACAGAGAATGATTGCTGTGGAAATGAAGGGACGGTGAAATATGAGACGGTTGATTGACATTTGCAAATGGAATAGTCAGTTTTGAGAAAATTATCATTCTGCAAATTAAGTATTTACTGTATGGTTCTCAGGTTTTACTAAGATATTCTGTAATTTTGTGTCCAAGCACATTCAATTGTCCCCAATTGTGTTCTCGTTCACTACATCAATATTTTTATTGACAATGAAAGTCATTAAGTTATGAATAGATATAAGCCTTTTGTCAATCTTTATGTTTTATTGAGTTACGAAGGATTGGAATAGGTACGTAGATTCATAACATGTTTAGAAAATATTCAATATTGAGCAACTTAGGTTATGTGTCTGTCATTCAGAAAAAGTATTAATCGTTTTCTTTAATAGATTATAGACTAGACGAACCTATTGATTATCATTTTATTTGCGTGACAGGCCTAATAAAACTGATTACCTGTTTCAGTTCTCACATGATAAGACTCACGTCTTACACATCGAAGTAGCTCTTATAGTTATCAATATATATGTAGATAGTCATATTGTCTTATTCTGCTGTTAAAAGTTGTTTGTATATCTTTTATAAAATCCATTTACAGGACTGGCAAACTTACTGACGTTGATATTTTTGGTACACATTTTTTATTCAATATAACTCCATAAAATAAAAATAATGACAAAAGGTATCCACCACTTATAAGTTAATGACTCTCATGATCAGAGCAAAATATATACAAAGCTAGTAAATACTTAATGAAATTACTTATCAATAGATCCAAAAAATCTATCAGTAATACACTCAAATAGTTTTGAAAAAGATAACAAATAATTAAATACATAGTTGAAATCATGATTCAATTGAAGCTAGACTACCATGGAAAACCTGGAAGCATTGGACGGCCGTTTCGTCCTATTGTGGTACTCTTTAGCAGTGCGCATTCACGATCCCGCCTCGCGAGCACTTAACCTCTAGACCACTGAGCCGGCATCAAAAGGTGTTAATGTCTAACGTCAAACTATCCACGAAGTTGAACAACCATTTCATCAATATCTTCATTGAGTTGATACCTCCCAACAGATGATTAAAATCTTTAAATCGAATTATTAATTTGATGTCCTAGAAACCGTTTGGCCTTGAATATTATTGATCATAAGGAGACAAAAATTATTTACATTTTACAATTTAATATACAATAAATTTTGTTCACATTGTGATCACATGTTAAATCATTTATTCATTTAGTTAAATCTTAATATTTGACATATGACCTACATTAAATTATGTTGTATTTTTATTTAAAAAAAGTAAATAAGAACTTCATATAAAATTTTTTTTGTAGTTAGACATAAACACCATTGGATGCCGGCTCAGTGGTCTAGAGGTTGAGCGGTCGCGCGCGAGACTGATAGGTCCTGGATTCGAACCTCGCGAGGCGGGATCGTGGATGCGCACTGCTGAGGAGTCCCAAAATAGGACGAAACGGACATCCAGTTCTTCCAGGTTTTCAATGGTGGTCCAGCTTCAATTGACTCATGATTTCAACTATTGAAATTGATGTATATCAGTTTTGGGAAGTGGTATTGCTGAAGTCAAACTGCTACTAGTTGTTTTCCCATGTTTGCAGAAGGTAAAGTTACTTACAAAATTGTTTTATGCTAAATGTCCTGCAAAAAGTATTAACATTACTATTATAAGAAATGATGTACAAATTCTAATTTATTTTAGGAACACCAAACATCGTTCCTTGAATTCTTTGTACAACTATATTGATGACATAAGATCGTGACTGACTAGGATGGAATATAAGGACTGGCATTATTTGATAAAAACTTGACATCGGGAATCTGTAGATTGGTTAAATAAAATTAAGAAGAAAGCTCAAAAGTAAATTCTTTAAATACTCAAAAACAATAGATCAACATATATTTATTCAGTGCTTCTGAAAGCATCTGACAATAATATATACTTTACAGTGTTTGATTCTTATGAATAACTAACCTTTCGAATTCAAAGGTTCATATCAACTCAGATAATGAGTATCAGGTATTGTGACTTAACTGATTTAATATTCCTTATTTCTGTTTAAAACTGGGGATCTAGAGTTAGTTGATTTGTTTGAATAAAGCAAGAACAATAAGTGTAGCAGAATGAATGGGATTCATTAATTTTGTGAATTCTCTTCAGGTCCGTATAACCTAATAGGAATAATTACTATTATTTATAGCCGATTTATATGATTTATATCATATTAATGAAGATTAGTAGAATAACGACGTCAGCAAGAATATTTTTTCATTTTTGAGTCTTCATGAGCTGCATTTATCTTACTATATTTTATGGTTATTACATAGCTTTGTCATCAATAGTCATTCTTTGGAAACATGTCTCCATGTGTTTTAAAATTTTCCTTCTAGAATTTTCACATTTGATAATGTATAAATAATCATAGTTTTAAAGCATGAGTCAATTGAAGCTAGACCACCATGGAAAACCTGGAAACACTGGACGGCCGTTTCGTCCTATTATGGGACTCCTCAGCAATGCGCATCCACGAACCCGCTCGCGCGAGATTCGAACCCAGGACCTACCAGTTTCGAGCCGAAGCCCTTAACCGATAGACCACTGAGCTGGCATCCAACGGTGGATCAGTTGAAGTTAGACATTAACATCGTTGGATGCCAGCTCAGTGGTCTATCGGTTAAGGGCTTCGGCTCGAAACTGGTAGGTCCTGGGTTCGAATCTCGCGCGAGCGGGTTCGTGGATGCGCATTGCTGAGGAGTCCCATAATAGGACGAAACGGCCGTCCAGTGTTTCCAGGTTTTCCATGGTGGTCTAGCTTCAATTGACTCATGCTTTAAAACTATGAAAAATACTAAATCTCCACAAAACCCCCTCTGATAATTAGTATAAATAATCATCCACTTCATATTTCTTCTATATTTGTAGTTATTCTAACTCTGTCTGTATCTCCTCCGAGGGCTACTGCCGGTCCTAAGGCCGGGTAAAGGAGGAGGGTTGGACATGGGGTTAGCGACCCCATCCCGTAGAAAATCAACTTGCTAAAAAAACAATAACCAGAATTATTCTCTCTAGGTTGTAAGCACCTGACAAGAATCCACAAAATTAATGAATTCTTGCCGAGAGTAAGAATAAATATTTCAACAGAATAGTATGAATTCATTTTATGTTTGGTTTTTGTCAGCCATCAACAGCATAATTACAAAATGGGTTTGAATTACTTACATGAAAGTGTTTAAATATAACATGCTGTAAGTAGTTGACAAGAATCAAACAAAAACAAATAAAATTAATTCATGCTATTCTGCTTAAATGTTTTGTTCTTGCTCTATTCAAGATGATAAAGGGAACTACGTGTATAAGAATAATGGATTCACTATATTCCGCTACGCTCATTATTCATGTTTTATTCAGACTTATCAATGAAAATAATTAGATGTAGTTACTTCTTACTGATAATGAATTCGTCAATTTCGCTCATATGAATAGAATGAGACTATAAAAAAATACAATTTTTTAAAGGTTTTCGTGATCATAGTAATAATCTGTTACTAAAGTCTCTTGAAAATACAACTTTACTCAAACCAAAAAAGATATTTACAACAATGTTATGAATAGAAGTATTTGAATTATTATACAAACTACGCATCCTCGAAACAGGACAATTTAGACCAAACAGAACTAGGTGAACACAAACGAACGTATTATGTTTCGAATTCAAAATCAGTCAGATATTGAGTACAAAAGAATCATTAACTTATACAAACACCATAAACAATAGGTTCCCTTTCATGGCCAAAAATAAATCTAATATATTTACAGTGGAACAGCAACTGTTAGTTATCACATTAATACTTAAGGATATTTTATGCCACGAACTCTTCGTAGATAAAAATTTTCCTTCATTAGTTAACCTTTCCAAAGGATGATTTTAAACGTAATGAAAAAACGCTAAATCACTTACATCACCTGTTCAACGATGAAAAGTGATAGGAGGATGCAATATTGAAGTGAATTACTTTTCTATCTATATCTCTAAGCTTGACATTTCTGTGAATCATATCTTGCTCACGGTATTCAGTCGATAACAAACAAATTGGTCTTAGAATATCTTAGAATATCTTTTAAGTAAATTTCAAAGAACGATCTAAGATACTACATATGAAATTGTCTTATTTTTGTATTTTCGAGGTTTTGAAAATCCAAGAATTGAAGGCGAAGTTATACTCAACAACTACTTTTTAAGTCTGCATTGGAGAATCACGCAAACCTGAGATGATAGAGAAGATTTGTAGCTCAGAGAACAAAGTCCTATCAAAATTACGCAAACCTATACGTATAATTTATTGGTTTGTTCTCAAACTGAAGATAATGATATTTGGCGTCCTTGTGACTGAATAAAGCACAAGGTACTAGAGCCCAATCATTCCGAGATTTTTTTACGAACCTTATGAATTGTTGACAAACTAGTCCACTTAATTATATCACAATCTCTAATTGATCTATAATTATTTTAAATTGTCCCGAATTTTGATTTTTAGTCAGGTCTTTATTTTTAGTTTTACACAAAGAGAGCTTGTTAGTGATGAACAGGATAAAATGACTCAAAGGTTGCTAAGTGATACAGTGTTAAGGAAGACCTACTGCTTTTTAAAATATTAAGTTACCAAGAATCTCGATTTGAATTGTTTGACGATAGATATATACACTGTTGAAAGGCTGTTAAGTGGTCTTTGGGTTCAGCGTTCAGTCGAGAGTCCGAATGTCTTGGGTTCGATTCCTTTATGCGAGATTGTGGGTGCATACTTCCGAGTAGTCTCACACTAGGACGAGACAGCTATCTAGTGCCTTTAGGTTTCCAAGGATGGTCTAACTAAACCGAGAAGATAACGAATAAATTAAAGCTATTTTGATCATCTCAGTTGAAGTAGCAGAAATTATGGACAACAATAAGTTTACTTAAACTATAAATATCAATAAATGACAGAATAAATAATATAGGAAAACATGTGAGATTACCCAGTTTTTTCAGGTAAAGGCGTACAATTATCTAATATTTAATAATTATAAGTGGAAAAATATATTTGAAATAGTCTCAGCGATTGAAATTTAAATAATTCCAACGTTTCGTCTAGCCAACTTGTCATCAAAGATTTTGATTATTACCCTGAAGAAGTCCAGACAAGTTGGCTGGACGAAACGTTGGAATTACTTAAATTTCAATCGCTGAGACTATTTCAAATATAATTTTTCCCATATAATGACTTCTCTATACTCGGCGCCCAATTTTTGTCAAATTATTCGTCCTAACCTTGACGAATATTCGTATAAAATATAATAATTATAATTTTTATCCTTATTCTGTAACCCGTCCTCATATAGACAATAACTCCATATTTCATTAATACTTTATTGTTGTCAATAAAATTAAGCACCCCTAACCATACTAATACATTTGAATGAATACTTTGATAGAAACTGGACACTGAGAACATAGAAGACATTATTTGTATACAACTATATTTTAACTAATCTCAGAGATTGAAATTTAAATAATTAATCTAAGTCTATATACGTGTGTTCGACGAAACGTTGGAATTACTGAAATTTCAATCGCTCAAATTATTTCAAACATAATTTTACACAATTAGTGTCACGTATCAAAATAGGTTGAAAGAAGGGATAATGAATAGCAAGTTTTGTATAAGTACCAAAGCAAAAGTGGACTAAGCATTTATGCATCAAAATATATTGGAGATAAACATTTCTGGTGATAACTAGATGATCTCTGATTTAATGTGAATATGATAATTGTTTACTAAACGGAATACACGCATCAAGATATTAAATAAAAATGATTAGTTCAGCGAAGAGTTCTCTTTTAGGCGAATTCATTTTCAAAGCTGTACAATCGAAAATATGTATACTTATTTTACAAGCTGATACCAATACTGATAATAAACTTCTGTAGACATGGTGACGATGACGTAGAATAAACAAAGGTATTAAAAAATGTTTATAAAACAAGGAAAGTTTAATAACCGTTTGATTGTTAATGACTTTAGGATTCATCGAAAGATACAGAAATTATCATTGGGATCTCCTTACCACTCTATAGCAAAGTGGCTGGCAAATCTCTTAGAACCCGTTAAAAAACGCATTTGTAGACGCTCCTTACGTTATACTTTTGAATTTATTGAACACAAAAAAGAAGTGAATGTGAAGGACAAAATTATGTGATCTCTGGATGTCGAATCATTATTCACCATTGTTCCAGTCACAGGGACCATCATTTGCGACAACAAATATGACTTGAGTCATCCAGCTTCTAAATAAATTTAATAATTGTCTCACAGCAATAAAATTCACACTAGAAGTTGAAAACAAACAAAATATTAACTTTCTTGATGTGTATATGACAAGAAAACAAGATGGTACTCTAAGAAGATCTATGTACAGGAAGCCCATGTGAAATGACCAACTATCAAGTTTCCACAGCTGGGTTCTCATCATAATAATCTTAATAACAACGCTCGCTACAAGAATATGAAGAATCTGTATTCCCGAAGTCATAGGGGAAGAATTTGGCCTCTTGAAGGAGATACTTATCAAAAACGGGTATCCTTCGATATTCATTGATAAAAACATAAAATCGAGAACACGAATAATTACAGTAGAAAAGAAAACACTATACATGAACATCGACTTCAAGGGTGACAGAGCCACATTCATCTTAAAGTAGAGAATTTCTGATTCTTTAAAAAGAACATTGTTTGCAGCAACATTGCGAATAGTATTCCCCAGCCGACCACTTTTCACCAATAATCTTAAAGATAAATTATCTCATCTGACCAACTCAATGTGAATTTACCAATTTACCTGCTCATGTGGAGCTAGGTATATAGGACGTTCGATGCGTTCCTTGTCCAAAAGAATTCAAGAACATTATCCGGCGTTGCTAAATAGAGTAGGAAACGGCTCAATAAGAAGTTCAATAATCGAACACCTTGTGATTACAGGTCACTCAATCAAGACAGACTCTGTGTTCAAAGTCATCCACAAGGTAAGTAGAAGTCTTCCAAAGACAATTAGATTGCATCTTCTTCGCATTTCCGAAGCAATAGCCACATATATCTGGAAAAACCGGAATTGTGTATGCAAAAGAGACTGATGCAACCTCTTCTTCTACCACGGTCTTAATGTTTTATAATTCTTTTTCTCTTTCTTCATGCTCATCTTCCTTTACAGTTATCTGCTTCACCTTAAATATTCTACCCCCAACTGGTTTATTTGTGTTTCTAAGATCATCCTGATTATATTTAATCTCACATTCAACATTTTATTTTATCACGCTGAGTCATCCTTTCCAAATGATAATTTCTGTATCTTTCGATGAATCCTAAAGTCATTAACAATCAAACGGTTATTAGACTTTCCTTGTTTTATAAACATTTTTTAATACCTTTGTTTATTCTACGTCATCGTCACCATGTCTAACAGAAGTTTATTACCAGTATTGGTATCAGCTTGTAAAATAAGTATACATATTTTCGATTGTACAGCTTTGAAAATGAATTCGCCTAAAAGAGAACTCTTCTCTGAACTAGTCTTTCTTATTTAATATGATAACTAGCATTTCAACAACTTTTAATAAATTAACCAGATTTATTTTACACTTAAAAAACGGATCTACATATAGCCAAAGTCTTACATGTGTTTACATGATATTAAACTTCAAATAAATCATTTGCTTTGTATATAGCAAGTTTATTTCTGCTTTCCTTAAGTTGAGTCACTGAGTTCAAAGTATCAAGATTCTGATGTACACCAAAGTTTGAAGATAGTGATGACTTCCAACTAATTCTTTATGAACAGAACAATGATCAGCATATTTTCCTATAAAGTTGATGGCTGAAACAAACGCTTATATTCATTTACCTAGAAATCAGCATTGTATATTAAATTATTTGACTAATAAGATAGATACATAAGTCACTCAGATTGTTCTTGAATTATTATCTCATGATACAGAGGAATACTGTTGAGATTTACTTGAGTTAGAAACTCTAACGCCTAAATTGTAAATGTAAAAGTCCATTCACTTGAGGAATATGTTGAAAATTATTTATTTGCATTTATGATTATGATCCAAACAAATTTCTGTCCAAAATATAACCCCGATCTGTAAATTTTAACTTTACATTGAATCGTTAATAAAATACGCATATATATTGGTAACCTCCGGATTTTCGAACTGAAAAATGGTATTTGAATCTGTTTAAGGTTAGTTTAAGGCTGTGGAGAAATTGTAGGCTTGTTAGTTTCAATAGCAATCTTCAATGAAGATTATTGCAGATCATATGTAACATAATACAGACAGATTTTTATAAATTAAATATATTTACTATGTATCCTATTATAAATTCCATACTCATCTCATTTTATGCTATGGTATTTCCGATTATCTTCTTGTTTATTTTAGCATTTAATACTTTCATGATTTTTCAGTTTATTTCAAACAGTGTAGATCTGAAGATGACAGTTCACTCAGTCAACATGAGAAGGAGAAAGTAGGCTCTTGACTCGGCAGTTACATTTACCTTTAATAATAAAACCAAAGAACGACAACTAACAGAGCGTAAGAAGCATTGAAATGAATAGGGTCGTAAGTATTTTATTCACATCTAAAGTTAACGAACTGTTGTGGAATAAGTGAAGGTTCGACCTCCAGGTGGAACATATGACATTAAGATCAATATGTATCTTCGTAGTCTATACGAAAGTAGTATCAGACAAGGTAAAAATTACCACGTCATAAGAATATTAAATCATTTAACTTTTATGAATAAGATGGTTTTTTCTTGTGTAGAAATTATTAAATAAAATCTATTTTCGGTTATTCTGTCAATTTACGCTGGATTTATCGTTTGTGGTAAATTTGTCCCAGGACTTGAAAGCTTAAGTGTAATTATTCTAATTGACTCTATTCTCCATTATTTTACATGCATTCCAATCAAATAAATACGAATTTGCACCTTGATCACCATACATTCTGGCAGGTATTTAGCAGAACAGTATGGCGAAAATCACACTGACTGTGATTATACTTCAGAGACTGAAGTTTATTCCTTTGATTCATACTGACCGTTATGTTTCCATTTTAGAAGGTGGGAAAACCTACATTAGATGATTGACTTAAGTCGAAAATTTTAATAGGTGAATTCGTGAGTCGATCTAAGTTGGACCACCATTGAAAACCTGGAAGCGTTGAACGGCTGTTTCGTCCTAGTATGGGACCTCTTGGAAGTATGCGTCAACGATCCCGAACACGAGACTCAAACCCAGGGCCTTTAGTCTCTCATGAGAACGCTTAACCTCTAGACCACTGAGTCGGCATCCAACGGTGCTAGTGTCTAAATTCAATCGACCCATGATCTTGAGAAAATCACTAACTTTTAAGAGTTAAATAGCATCTAAGATTTGATAATGGTTCGATCTAAAATATTCAAGATATTTAAATTTGTTTTCCTTATTAATAATATGGTTTTAGTTATTTTCTAGGTAATGTCATTTAAGTCCATATAAATAGGAAAGCAGTCCTGCCTATCATTTCCCTGTGTCAGATTAATAACGACCCTGAATTCGACCAGTTATCGATGTGACCTTGAAATTTCCGAATCAATTGAATCTCAATTTACAACCAATCATATACTGCGTAGTTTCCGTCCATGTTTTTTTTATATAAAGCTATATAAATTGGCCTCGTTTGTGAATCCAATCGACTAAATACTACGAATTAATACGATTTAATAATGCCGTTAACATCACGTTCACCTTACGACAGTAAAACACTACTTGCTAAATATTATGGTTTGCCTCAACCTGATGACAAAATTCAAGTTATGTACGTATGGATAGACGGAAGTGGAGAAAATTTACGCTGCAAAACAATGACTATGCAAGAAGAACCAAAAGTTCCAGAAGGTACGTTAACATTTTCAAAGGTTCATACTCCTTATTTTGTGAATGAATCTTTGAAGAGAAAACTTTGTTGAAGTAAATTATGTAATTGGCTGTTTATTAACTTCATTAAATTTCGTATTGGAAATGTAACTAAAGATCAAAAATATCTGTTTTATAACTGTAATGTTGTATAAGTAAATATAATTTTTTTCTCTAATCCATATGAATTGCTAAAAAGCAACATTCATCGACAATTTAGGTTTATTTCATTATGGATTATAAACAAATACAATGTATTTTAACTTTAGACCTCAGTGACGGTTTTTCCTTTCCATATATTTATAGTTATATATTTAACAGTACACTGGGTAAGAAATAACATATTAACCGTTACAGCTAGGCTAAATCTTTTATAAACAAATAGAAAATATTTTTCATAGTTGAAAGCGTGAGTCAATTGAAGCTAGACCACCATCGAAAACCTGGAAGTACTGGACGGCCGTTTCGTCCTATTATGGGACTCCTCAGCAGTGCGCATCCACGACCTCGCCTGACAAGATTTGAACCCAGAACCTACCAGTCTCGCGCCAGAGCACTTGACCTCTAGACCACTGAGCCGGCATCTGATGGTGTTTATGTCTAACTCTAACCCATCCACGAAGTTGAGCAATCATTCACCAATTGTCTTCAGTGAGTTCCTATCTCACATCAGACGTGGTTTGAACTCCATTGGTCACTGCTTCTCACTGGCACTCGAGGATTTACCTTTTGAAGTCAGTCACCAGTGAGCATATGATTATTATCAGAAGGGTTTTTTTGTGGAGATTTAGTGTTTTTCATAGTTGAAAGCATGAGTCAATTGAAGCGGGTTCGAACCTCGCGAGGCGAGGTCGTGGATGTGCACTGCCACTGAGGAGTCCCACAATCGGACGAAACGGCCGTCCGGTGCTTACAGGTTCTCCCTGGTGGTCTAACTTCAATTGACTCACGCTTTCAACTATGAAAAATACTAAATCTCCGCAAAAAACCCTTCTGATAAAAATAGTAAATATTTGACTGATCATTGGATCTTTTGAAAGACTTTTTAGTTGGAGTTTAACAAGTAATGGATTAAAATTCAATTTTAGAAGAATGATCAATAATAGACATACTGGAAATAACATATAACTTTTAGAAATCTTATATTATTCGCTTACTCCTCTTTTTGTTAAATATTCCAAATGTGAACTGTTATATCGTGTACTATAGATCAGCATATTTCTTAAATTTACAAACATTCACTTATTGGAAAAATATTTAATTCTGATAAAACTGGGTTAACTAATAAATTGAACGTATAAATCGATGTTTTAATTAGTCCCATACATATTAAGTTGATGGTATGTAATATCTCTTATTACCAGTTGATTGTTTATCTACTAAAATAGTTCGTTGTCAATAAGGTCAGTATGAAGATGAAATTAGAAATCTTAATTTTCAAGGAAAAGTTCAGTAGTTTCTGGCCAAGAGCTATAGTGCTTATATTATCATAGAGTTGAAAAATGTAATTAACACAAGTTGAGAATTGGTTTAAGTGGTGTGGTTTCATTTATTCTTAATCATCCATCATATTTATAACGTTATTTCCATCGAAAGTTTCATTTGCCACTCTGAACCATAAAAAATTCTAATAATTGTAATTTCAAATAGTTGAACCATGGATAAGTTAAAGAGAATTAATCGATATATTTATGTGTATTCGTTAGAATGATTACAGAATTTTGTATTATTGTTAGTTTTGTCTGAACATTTATGCTGTTGCACAAAAATGTTATTGAAGGTTTAATAAACCGAATAGTATAACCAGTTATCTTACATGTACTGTAGCTTAAAGTTATGTATACAAAACTACACTTGGTTACATTACTATTATTATTACTACCGACATTGAATGACTAAGCTACTTTCTTTCATTCTGTTGTTCAGAGTTGGAACAATTTCAGTTAATACAAACGAATACTGACCTCTTTTCTAAAGTTCAATATGATGTTACTGCAGAAAATGCAAAACCGAAACATGTTCACATGCATTATTGAATAGAATTGATGTCAGAGTTTACAATGTTACTTGGGTTGAATTTGTGACATAAAATTTCAAATTATTCTTATGAAAATTGTCTGAAATTATAAAATTTAATAACATTTACCCAAATTACTTACAAAATAATAAATGTGACACTTTACTGATTGTAGATCATCTGATGTAGTGGCATAACTTGATGTTTTGATCTTTTTTTCTTAATTACCTAAAATTCCTTATTAAATATGTGTAACTAGGTATGGTGTATTATTATTACAAAACATTTTAGAATTATGAAATGAATTAACCTCATGATCGAAACTTCCTAAATAAATAATTTGACATGACCCAATATATTTATGTAAACAATAAACTAATTGAACTAGGCAATGTACATATTTCTAAATTTTATCCAACTAATAATCATCACTTAGTTTTGATGATTAATTTATCAGAAGGGGTTTTGTGGAAATTTCAGTATTTTCATAGTTGAAATCATGAGTCAGTTGAAGCTAGACCACCAGGGAAAACCTGGAAGCGCTGGACGGCCGTTTCGTCCTATTATGGTGAACGGTTGCTCATATTTCGTGAATTGGTTGAAGTTAGACATTAACACCGTTCCATGCCGGCTCAGTGGTCTATCAGTTAAGTGCTCTGGCGTGAGACTGGTAGGTCCTGGGTTCAAATCTCGTGAGGCGAGGTCGTGAATGTGCACTGCCGAGGGGTTCCACAATAGGACGAAAGGGTCGTCCAATGCTTCCAGGTTTTCCATGGTGGTCTAGCTTCAAATGACTCATGATTTCAACTATGAAGATTAATTTATCATAATTTATTACTTAAATACGTATTTTTAAGTTAACTGTTTTGTAAACTAAACAGAATTAATGAATGAACTCAGTTTTTAACAGTCTAATTACATTGAGTTAGAATTCTTTAAGATTGAATTTTATTCGTTTTAAAAGTGTAATATTTGTGTGGAGAAATCATTTCGAATGGACTCATAGTTTTTTTATATATTTATCTCTTATTCTATATGTATTTCTTTTTTTATAAAAAACAGACTGTCCAATGTGGAATTTTGATGGAAGTAGTACTGGTCAAGCTGAAGGTTCCAATTCTGATGTTTATTTAAAACCGTGTGCAATGTTCCGTGATCCATTTCGTGGTGGTAAAAATAAATTAGTCTTATGTGAAACTTATAATTATGATAAGAAACCACATGGTAAGAATTTCGCTTGATAGTTTCTTATTGTCGTACTGTGAATATTTTGCTCTTCTTTTTATTACTGTAATACGTTATAATGTGAGATGATATACAAATGCCCCAATAAATTATGCAATATACATCAATATTAGTAATGATAGTAATTAATTCAGTGTAAATTATTTGCAAGTATATATTTATGTATTCAGGTTTAAGTCACTTTGTATGTGAGCTATTGCTACCAACCACTTATTCAGACCAAATTAGGTAGAATTTAAGAGCCCAATTCTTCAATTAAGAAGCCGGTGATCTAATGACAATAATAATAGTACAATGATAAGTGTTTTAGTTGCAAGTGTATACAAGAGGATTGTATATGACTTTGAGGGAAATTCCAAAATTTTCTATTGCAGCTCCCCCAAAATTGATAAAATTTTCCCTCAAATTGGGAGACTGGGTAGTTTTAAAATGGATTTCGATCTTTAAAATGGAATATCTTTTTATCCCAAGACCTGGAGATCTTGACTGTGGCTGCTTTCAAGGGTATGAATGCGCTCTGTCAGACAGTCTCAAACCAGGAATAGACATTATTAGTGAAGGTTTGAGTTATCTCGTTGTCGGAATTCGTGGGCATAAAGTACAAGGTTCCAGTCTCAATACAAACCTTAACACAGAGATGTAGATACATTTGACTGACGTGTTCCATATAAGAAGGAACGTCCGTCCTGCATTCCACTTTTAATTACAATCCATCTGTTATAAATAGGTATAGGCAATCGTTTTGCACTTCATGTTTTTCCAGCTGATCTATGGGTAAACATATTTTAAAAAGAACATACTTGGGTAAGAATAACGGTTGCAAGTTTTAGAAAATAATAGGCCTTGAAATTCAGCAACAAGAATTCTGTCATAATTACAACATTTTACAAGGTCGATCAATCTCTTTTTAAAATACATTAACACTTTATTAGATATATCCTCCCCAATAGTATCGAATGTAATTGTACTTTACTATATAGATGGATAGATAGCTAGATAAACAAACGGAGAGTAGGAAAAGTCTAACCTTGTAAAATACAGAATAGCACAGTAATGTAGCTTTTAGATAAAACAACTACCGACTGAAGAGGAGGAAGGGAAAACAGAGTAATGAAAGTATGAACAAACAAAAAGGAGACTGATGTTAGATAATAAAATCTTTACTAGTTAAGGTATACAACAAAGGGTATACAAGAAGGGTATACAACAAATCGAATGTATATCCATCACCGTGAGTGATTTTGAATTTAGTCATTTAAAAATGTCAGTTAGTGGTTTTTAACTTGTTTAAAATCTTAGGAAGAAAAAGAAAATACTTTTTGATGAAAACCAGACCAGCAAATGACTGATTCGATATATTTAGACCATATTTCTATGTCTTAATATTTTATATCTTTCTATATAAATGGCAGCATAATTCTGTATCCCATAAAAAAATAATTTAGGCTAATAATTGTCTTCTTTCGTAGCGGCCCATACTGAGCTTAGAAATTATGAACCAACTTGCCTAATTGTTTTAAAATTACGATTTCGTTAAAGCAAAGATATATAAAGTATACGAAAAATATACTTTCCAATAATTTATTCATTGACTATGAGAAAGCATTTGACATTGTGGATAGGAGAACCTTGTAGAACCTTCTTCGACACTATGGTGTACCAGAGAAGATCGTCAACATTATCCGGAACTCAAACGATAGACTAGAGTGCAAAGTCATGCATGGAGGACAGCTGACAGATGCATTTCCAGTAGGCACCGGAATCTACTCTTCCCCCTTTCTATTTCTTCAGGTGATTGACTAGATTATGAAGACCTCGACATCTGAGGGGACGCACAGAATACAACAGACAGCTTGGACACAACTAGACGATTTGGACTATGCAGATCACCCAGCTCTTCTATCCCATACACACCAACAAATTCAGGCGAAGACAAACAGTGTAGCAGAAGCCACTGCAACAGTAGGCCCCAACATACACAAGGGAAAAGCAAGATCCTCAAATACAACACGGAGAACACCAACCCGATCACACTTTATGGAGAAACCCTGGAACAGGTGGAAACGTTCACGTACCTGGTCAGCATCACCAATGAACGTGAAGGATCTGATGCCGCTGTAAATGTAAGGATTGGCAAAGCAAGGACAGCATTCCTACAGTCAAAGAACATATGGAACTCAAAACAAATGTCTCTCAACCAATATCAGAGTGAGAATCTTCAATACGAATGTCAAGACATTTCTACTGTACAGAGCTGAAATTCAGATTACTACTACAAACATAATCACAAAAGTACAAATATTTATAAACAGTTGTCTACACAAGATACTCAATGTCCGTTCACTGGATAGCATCAGCAATAGCCTACTATGGGAGAAAACAAACCAGCTTCTATCTGAAGAGGAAATTAGGAAAAGACGCTGGAAGTGGATAGGACATATATTGTGGAAATCACCAATGTGCATCACGAGGCAATCGTTAACTTTGAATCTTGAAGGGGAACATAAAATCGGAATACCAAGGAACACATTGCACTGAGAATTGGAATCTGACATGAAAAGGATGAATAGCAACTGGAAAGAATGGCTTGTGACATGGTTGGATGGAGAGTGCTGGTAACCGGCTTATGTTCTTTCAGGAGGGGTGACAGACATATGTAAGTAAGCAAGTAATAGTTTATTCAAGTTTACACTAAATACTAGTCTTTCTTGCAAGAGCAATTATATTTATTTTACAAACAATCCTAAATCCATAGACTGCAATTCTTAAAAATATATTTAATTCATAAATGACTATCATATTTGAATTTATACCTGGGGAACCTGACGATAAATTGTCAGAAATGAAGAAGCATTGAATAGTTATTTTAACCTTGTTTACCACTTTCCCAATAGATAAACGGAACGAAGAAATATTGCTTCACAGTTCATTATTTACCCTTTTTATTTTTTACTGAATCTATCAGTGGAATTTTTCGAATGATACACGCCCACTATATTCAATACAATTGAACACAAAACAAACAGACCCTACAAGAAAATAAAATCTCCCAGCCTCGGTGAATTACAATCGAATGATTTACATTCCCAACTTCGAAAAACAATTTCGATTACGTCTAATTGTCACCTAATGAGATTAGCAGACTACTGTTTCATTTTTTTAACTTGTTTGCATTTATTAAGTAACTAGTCACTAGGGATTATATTATCATACTATTAATATCTAGGTAGGTAGTTAATAAAAATTTGTGCTGAAAACTGTACTACTATTCTGATTAGATTACTATAATCTGTATGACTGCGAATTCGATCATAGTCAGCATAAAGCTATACTACGGAGTTCAAAGATTGACCATTTCAGTGATTCGAAGTGACAATTTGATTATTTCAACTTTAATAATGAAGCATTTTTATTTCTTTATATCTAGTAAGACAGTGAACTTAGTTTCATTTATTTGAGGAAAAGAAACTCTTTTGAAAATTATTTACTACCGGCTAAAAAACTCCGATATATGTACGTTCACCTTTTCTTCGTATCTTTCACTTTGTTTTACATTCCACCTTTTTTAGTTTCAAATCATCGTTATCTCTGTAATCTTGTCATGGAGAAAGCGAAATCTCACCAACCATGGTTCGGTATTGAACAAGAATATGCTCTATTAGATATCGATGGTTATCCATTACAATGGCCTAAAAATGGTTTTCCTCCACCTCAAGGTAAATCAACTCATAAGTTTTCACCGTCTGTCAAAAGTATTTCTCAATTTAATCTGCTTACGCTTTAAATAGTTGAACTGGGTAAATTGTTTCAGACATTCGATAATGTGTGGGTTTATACTCTTCTAGTGAAAGTCATGTTGCCTGTGTGACAGTTGACCTCATCACTATCACCTAATTAAAATAGTCTTCTTTTCATATTGCAACTCTGATCTAAAGCTGTACAGTATCATTATTGGTGCTACTTTTTTTCAAATATTCATTTTAACTTATGTCGCTTTAAATGGATAAAGTTATTTCATCAAACTATTTGCTTTTTTCTTGAAGCTTAACCATCCGAACAGTTTATATTGTAAATCTTGTTAGAATTAAATTTTGTTTATACAACACCAGTTGAAAAATAGTAATGGTTATCCGGATACATAATAATGAACTGACAACGTAAATCAAAATATCTAAGTAAACCGACCTAATATGCAAATTAATAAGCAAAACCAAATTCCGAGGTTTACAACAGCAAGCTACAACTAACAGTATGATTCAAATGGATCTTAATTCAATAGAGAAAATACGTGATTGATAACTCATTGAAATATCTGAGAAACTATTATTTCACAGATTAATTACTTCATTTCAGCATCGATCCTGTGGGTTGTAAAGAATTCGAGATCATGATAAAAAATATAATCAATAGAAAATAACTTAAGTATTTACTACCTAATTACTTGAAATAACTATGCTCTTCAATAGAGCATAAAACCAATATTAGCGAAGAATAATTGAATGTAAACACGAATATTGGTAATAGATAGTCTTTTATACCGATTCATCATTCATGAATATCATTTTAAAAATATATGACGTATAATTTTAGGATAAAACTAGCCGAATTGTATTTCTGAGATTTCGAAATTTCATTTCTTGATCAAAATGAATAGTAACCTTACTGATTAAAATATTAATTCAGTGGTTGTTTTCAAGCTCACTTCAAAGAATCATAACAAAGTTGTGCTTTAATGCTAATTACTTGATTTAGTTAGATCCTTCTTCCCCTCAGTTATTTCCATCTTATTGTAATCATTATTTGTAAATTATTAAAGTTTATTTATTGAGTTTATATCAATTGGGATAACTTGGTCTAAATTCATGTCAGAGTGTCAGTAATTTTATAAGCTTTTAGAAAACTGACAACAAAGCATAGAGATTTTACTTAAGAATAACTGTAAGTTGTTAACTTTTATTTGAATTACTTACTCTAAGGCTAAGATTACCACTATATCAACAGTAACAATATAAGCAAACAATATATATAGGAAGGTAGCTGATTTTATGAAACCCAGTTATTTGATCAGCTTTACAAATTTTGACCATTTGATATAATGACTGATCAGATAAATTGAAATACATAGATAGATAAACTATTTGGATTCTATAATAACAGGTAGTCCTGATAACTTATGAAGCAATCTTAGACAATATACAATGATTCCACTACTGGAGCGTATCTTTTTCGTCAAATAATCTAAGTGAACACCTTGGAAATTTAAAAGTTTAGATGGGAACATAAACATACTGTTTCTCGATAAAGTATATACATCCAACTTGACTTATAAATAATTATATCTCTGTTGACAGCCAAATCTTCAGAAGTTTGATTTATAAACTGAGATCTAATAATAAGACAGCCAAATCTTCAGAAGTTTGATTTATAAACTGAGATCTAATAATAAGACATCGTATTTCACAGAATATCTTTCATTGAATGATTCAAGTAACTACTTTATTGAATTTGTTGCTCATAAATGGTTCCTCAAAATATATGACTTCCGATTAAAACTTTCAATATTATTTGTATCTAATAAAGTCGGTAAATTCCAGTAGTTTTGACTTATCAGTTTGCTCTTTACCTACTTTTTTAATGTTTGTTTATATCAGCAATGCTAATAAAAGCTAATCAACTGCTTAATGTTTTGTTAGTACTTCAGTTATTAATGCTTATGTTGTTGGATTTGTAGTGTCATGATTTACACATTTACAATTTAGGTAACTTTCAGTTTCTCATTTGTTTTCTTGTAAAACTATCAACAGCTGTATAGTAATCTCAGTCAAACCAAACTTTCAGAGATATGATAATAAGATAATCCAGAGATATCAGTTAAAAAATATCTTTATGAAAATTTCTTTTCAGTCAAAAATATTAAAACTAGAAAGTCGATCTGTTGTTTAACATTCTTTTATATCATTCATGTTTGACGTAGAATATTAAAATCCATAGCATCAAGAGTTTCGTGCTCAATTACATAGAGCTATCTTCATATTGTGACGAAAATCAAACAATCTCTTGGTTCATTTCGGATATATTTATTTTTCTAAAAACTGATGACAGTTGTGACCTAACTGAAGCATTCTGCTTGCTGTTACTCATTAAATCCTAAAAGTTAACTGTGACCCACTAGTTGTTTTCAGTCAACTGAATATAAGATGAATAAAATCTCAATAAATTTTTATTCATGTACTCTAGTTTATAAATATGTTTCACAATGTGTGAATTACCCCTCCCAAATTTCTTAGGACCTTACTATTGTTCTGTTGGAGCGGGTAAAGCACTTGGTCGTGATATACCAGAAGCTTTATACAGAGCATGCATGTATGCAGGAGTTAAAATTTGTGGTAGCAATGCAGAAGTTATGCCATCACAAGTAAGAATTTATGTGATAAATGTTATTATCATTATTATTTGAACAAAAAATATATGCAGTTAAATGATATTTTTCATTTATAGACTGACACTAGTCATAAGCCACTATTAAATCAGGAACTATTAGGTAGAGATATTTAGTTTAGTTTAAGATTCCTCTTGTAGATCTACCGTTATCCAGTATTATCAGTAGTTAGATATCTTGATTCTGGATTAGATAGACTGTAGACCATACGATGTTTTATAACATCAATAAACTCGTCTTGAAGGAAGTCACTGATCGGCCATAGGTTAGTGTTAAGATGGATATAAATACTCAGGTAATGTTTAAATTTTATAGTTCAAAACATTTTGGGATAGAAGACGTATGATAGTCATTGTGCGGTCTTGATTGATTATATTTTCCAGTGAATACAACTGGTTTAAATGATAAACGGTAAATTAGATTATTTGGTTAAGTTTACAAAAATACACTTTATTATGGGTTAACAACTGAAAAACCACTAAAAATCAATAAGAAATAAATAGATAACATCATTTTCAAATGGTAGTTATCTCCACATGACATATTGGTAAATAGTAATTTCGTATCCAATAATGACTAACTTTAAAATGGATTTTTTTTTAATTTCCAGTAATAAACTTTTGTGATTTAAGAAGTCAACTAAGTGTAACCTAATGATGATAAGATTAATTTGTGAATTCGTTAAAACTAAACACTTAAATAACTAAATCTCTGCTTAGTTACTTAAATATGTTATGCTCAATGAAAGACTTAAATATTCTGAATTCAGTTGCATATTTTTCATTGTATATGAATATATACATGTACTGTTGCTGAATCTCAAACCATGATGAAATAGCTACTAAGTACTTCATAATTTTCGTTATTCGTTAATATATAAAAATATTAAGATTACAAAGTACAAATATATTGTACTCATAACCATTTTTATTCTTTTTGATGAATTTTTTGTTTTGAGACATTATTTGTTTTAATATTCATTTAACAAAAAACCAGTGAACTGTTACACTGTGTACTTCATACTATGTTTAATGTTATTTATTATCTATCTCATTAATGAAAAACCTAAAATATTATCCATTTTATACTAACTATATTCATGCAATATTCATCAAAGTTTTTCGAATGATATTAAACACATTATAGTGTATTTTATTTCATCTAAATGATAGGATTTCTGTGGTTTCACATTGTTTATAACAATAACATTTTATATAGTTCAGATCACGAGTTATTTGAAGCTAGACCACCATAGAAAACCTGGAAGCATTGGACGGCCCTTTCGTCCTATTGTGGGACTCCTCAGTGGCAGTGCGCATCCACGACCACGACTCGCGAGATTCGAACCCAGAACCCACCAGTCTCGCGCCAGAGCACTTTACCGATAGACAACTGAGCAAGTTATGACACCGCATTTGTAGGATACACTGTTCCTGATGTCAAGGTTAAAAAACAAGTAACAGTACAATTAGCTGGACAAAGAAAATTATCCATTTATTAATGTGTAACCAAGTTAAGCCTTAACGAAAACATCTAATACGATCAAACTATTCTACTTGTTTTCGATGTCTCGACTTATCACTTGCTTTCAGTTTCATCGTCAATGGGGTAGTTCCAAAAAGCAACCTTTAACACTGATTTAGTAGCTTACAGAATAGTGGTATCAAGTGTTTTATATGAATCCAGCCTTTAAGAGTCATTAGAATCTAATAGTTATTTTTAATTTACCCAAATAAAATTACCTTAAATATAAGTTTCCATTACAATAAATTATAAGTAATTATTCGTATTATTGCATTCTACACGGAAGTTAACACTGTATTTAGTTTTTATCACATTTTCAAAGTTTCCCAGTAATAATCTTTTAGTAAATATATACTAATCGAAACGAGAAAAAATGTCTCATCGTGTTTGGGAAGTAATAATTCTGTGTGACTGCCTCACGAATTTGTTCACGCTAAACACTCACCAATTCAAATGCTAAATCCTTGTCCATTAAGCCATGTAGTTATGATAGCCGCCTATTTTCCAGTGGCTGTGTTTGTACTTACCCAGTGGTGATTTTTGAAACTAAAATGATGTGCTATTTAAATGAATACCTCAGTATTACTTCTATTTGTATCATGACTTCTAACTAATTATCCATAGATGGAAAACCAAATAGATTTTACAGTGAATCTTATATCACATGTGTTTAACTTTCATAGTGGGAATTCCAAGTTGGGCCATGTGAAGGTGTTTCTGCTGGGGATCATTTATGGATGGCTAGATTTATATTACATCGTGTAGCTGAAGACTTTGGAGTGATTGTTTCACTAGACCCGAAACCAATGCCTGGGAACTGGAATGGTTCAGGAGCGCATACGAATTATTCAACTCTGGCTATGAGGGATCCAAAATCAGGTTTACAGTAAGAACTTTATTTATTTTCAATTCTGTACTTGAATGCATTTTTTTTCGAGATGAAACTAGTCAACAAGACATGATATTTCAAGGAAATTAATTTTAAGTTCTATCATCAAATGAAATTTAATTGTTTTGCACTCACTATTGAAGAGTATGATAATTAAACTTAGTAGCCATATCTAAAAGTACACTATCAAGATCATTAAATCATCTTCGTAATTTCTCAGCAATTTCACTAAATATTTACTAATTTTCTGATTTTAAAATCTAAGTGAAAATTATATTCTGACCAACATTAAATTTGTACTTGATTCAATAATGTAAATAATATTAGAATAATTAAGAATTTAGTCTAATATAAAATAGTTGTTCATACCATTTCTATAATACAATAAACTTAATAATCACTATTTGATATATGGTTGAAATCATGAGTCCATTGAAGCTAGACCACCATGGAAAACCTGGAAGCACTGGAAGGCCGTTTCGTCCTATTGTAGGACTCCTCAGCAGTGCGCATCCACAATCCCGACTCGCGAGATTATAACCCAGAACCTACCAGTCTCGAGCCAGAGCACTTAACTGACAAACCACTGAGCCGGCCAGCATCCAACGGTGTTAATGTATAACTTCAACCAATCCACGAAGTTGAGCAACCATTTCACTAATGTCTTCAGTGAGTTGATATCTCCCAACAGACCTGGTTGAACTCCACGGGTTACCGCCTCTCACTAGAAGCCCAGGAAATACCTCATGGAGCCAGTCACCCCCTAATCACTATTTGAGTTTATACTCTACCTAATTAACTACATTTGATAAACCTACTATAATTATATACTATGAGGAAGAAGTGTTACTGACTTTAGTTAAAGTGAGACGATATTAATGTACTTTCTTATAAATTGTTTTAATGGAATTTTAAATGGAATTTAAATACCACGGCAAACTATTTCATGAAATCACTGCCATGTAGAAGTTTGTTTTAAGATCCAAAGTAGAAAAACAATTATTTTATCGGTTTACAACTTGAAATATTGTTTCTTCCAATTTAGTACTTTATGACATAACTCCATGTTGCTACTTTTAGAGAGAAATGTATTAATAGGTTATAGTAAATGAGTGAAACAACGAATACTGTAGTTTATCAGTTTGCTAATCCGACAGTATATTTTCTTTAAAATAGAAAACATTTTAATAACTAAATTATTTAAATGATTCAATATGGGCTTGTGTGTAGTGCTTCTCTATTTCATCGTTGACATGAATGGTTGAGATCACTTCATCAGTAAGACATGTGATCATCATGTGATGAAGAAATCATATTTACTAATCAGATATTGGGTAGTAGCCAATTTTATTTTTTCCAGTCGTTAGTGTCACTGGTAATTGAGTTTACAATGTGAATAATAACTGCATTGACATTGTGATGGATTTCGTTTTATGTCACATGTTTTAAAGAAATAATGTTATCAACGACTGTTTCATGTATGACAAGCTAAACAATATCCAGTTTTTTGATGATATGAATTCCGAAAGTGGGATTAAAAGTCAACAATTCAGAAATACGATCATTCCAAATAAACATTGTTATCTCAAGCAGAGATGGATGGTGACTAACTATTGAATCCATGACGCACGTCTCGTCCTATTTGGGACTCGTCAGCTGAATGCAGTCGTAAACATCAACGGGAAAATTCAAACAACCAATATATGAATTAATACAAAAATACTGATATTATTTAAATGTGTTATGACTGTAATTGTACTTTTCCAAAGCATTTATTATTTGTTTGGTGAAATAGGGAGGGTCTTGTGACTGAAAGAAACGACCTTAACCTTCCCAAATGGGCATTATTTAAGCAAAGTTAGATAGTCGCTAGAAGTGGAAACTAGAACGTACGTTTCATCCTATTTTAGACTCGTCACCTGGATCTATTTCCACGTGTTGATTTTCACACTAAAACTAGAAAATACTTGTCGAACCAGACAAATGGGGAGGTAGCAAAAACAAAGATACTACTGAAACATATTACTAATCATGCTGCTTTAGATAATAAACCAATATTACCAGGATAGTTTACATGTTGTGGTTGATATATAAATGTTTTAACAAGAGAATATATTGAGTCAATAATATCTTAAGTATTTCTGACAAACTTAGTCGTCTCATCACACCACCCTAATTCACCAGTGTCTAACTGTTTTGAAGCACTTATCAGCTTAATTTTGCTAGATGTAAATCTTGAAGCTAATGAATTATTTTTCCAGTTATGGTGATTATTTAAACAAAGGATCTAATTACATGATTTTGGGAGGTGAAGGTCATTTCTTTCTATCACGTGGCCTGACCTATTCCAATAGACAAATGATGGATACTTTGTAAAAGTACGACCTGAGTTATATAAGGAAACTAATTTTTTGTTAATTTATATTGTCATCATTGAATCAGTTTAGTAAACAATGTGTGCATTAGGAATGATGATCATAAAATATTCAATTAAAATAGTGTATCATCCAATAAAGTGTCGTCTGAACAAAGATTTCGATCCTTGATCGAAATAAATATTTTATTCCAATTTCCAATTCCTTCATTTTGTACAGGTCCTTAGCCAAAACCTCATAAGATGTGGTCTACGGTACCATTTAGTCAGTGAATGCATAGTTTTCAGCTTCAGTCAATTAATGGCGTAATTTGCTCGTTGTCTCGTTCTACTAGTTGGCTCCAACTCACAGTGTTTCCAAACAAATTTTATAAAATCCATCTGTTAACAATTCACTAATCACCTAGATAATCTTATGGAATTGATGATATACGACGCCGAAAGTAGGATTTAGACGAAAATATTGTCACTTTAGTACTCTTTAGCTCCTGACAGTTAAATTTGTCATCACTAAATACAAACCATCTACCAAAATGCTTTTTTGGTCTAACCAAAAAATGTTTTTCACTGTGAATAAAATACACACAGGGATGCTCACTCATTGATTAACTTCAGAAATATAAAATTTGAAAAAACAGTATATTGGTTTGATTACATTTAAAATGAGAGCGTTAAATTTGGCAAACAAGAAGTACATATCAAGTTTGTTTCATCAAAATGATTGATTTTAGACCCTTGAAATAAGTAGACTTACTAATAATTAACATGGATAATGTTTTTTCATACCATGACTTTCTCTACGCTACACGTTTTCACGAAAAAGTATCAGAATGTCTAAAAATTTCACATCTCATTACTATAAACATTAAAAAATTACAATGAATATAAATTAATAAGTGATTATAAGAAAATCACACTGATATTATTACTATTATTGTTTTATTTAGAGCAATAGAACATGCTATTGAAAAACTATCGCATAAACACATGGAACATATTCAATGCTATGATCCTAAACGTGGTCTAGACAATCAAAGACGTTTGACTGGTAGTCATGAAACAAGCAGTATTAATGATTTTTCATCTGGTAAGTTAGTGACTTCAAAGAGATATTTTCTTGATTTTCTACAACTTTTTCAAGTAACAGATGATACCACCATGTACATAGTATTTAAAGTTTACAATATACAGACGAAATCTATTAAGACCAGTGATAAGGAAAAAAATATTTCTTACCATAAACAGTAATTTGTGTTTAGTTTCGGAGTTATTGATAGAAATGAAATAGATGGTGATCACTCCTTAACATTGAGGATTTTATAAACAAACTTAAATGTGACTGTAAAATCAGCTTTCAATTTTATAGATTCACTAATGACATGAGTTATGTTATAGACCTAGAATAATTATTGACTTGAGAAAAACATCTTATAAATTATTTGTAATCAATAGTTCTATAATAACTTTTTAATAACCACTTCGCCATGCTTCTACGAATTCCTAAATATCATAAGAATGGTTTTGTGGAGATTTTAGTAATTTTGTGGTTGAAATCATGAGTCAACTGAATCTAGACCACCATGGAAAACAATAGGACGAAACGGCCGTACAGCGCTTCCAGGTTTTCCATATTGGTCTAGCTTCAATTGACTCATGATTTCAACTATAAAAGTCCTAAATAACCAATCATGTAATGCCTGACCACATTCTGAAAAGGATTGGCCGTTCATTGTTCTAGCTTTGAGGCGATCTGTCCATCGTTTTTTTAAAAATTATCTGATTCAAATTTCACCCATTGGCTTTATTGGAAAAAATCGACATAGTGACGAAAGTTTGTTTCATGTGGGTAGATAAATAAGATATTCGATTATCTTACATATGTTATGTTTAATTTACACATTCAATCATAAAGTTCTATCATTTCACTCAGTATTCAGAAAATTATTATCAGTATTACGTCAGTATCATTTTAAACTCCACTCAGCTAACTTAGCCATTAAAAAATATCTGAAAGATCATATATATTAAGCCTGTTTATACTTCAATTGAGATTAATTAGCTATATCATCCAATTCGTTTAGCAAGTACACATTCGTGTACCCGGCTTCGAATAAGTGATAGTAAAATTCAGTCATTTAGTTTTTTACTTTGTAGGATGGATAAACTAAGTCATAGAGGAGGTGGTGTTATCCTGTACTTGAAGAACGCTTTAAGTACTGGAGTTGCCAAGACCGCGGCGCATGACTTAAACACATGCAGATTAATGCGGTCTCGACTAAAATGCAGAGGACAGTATATCAAACTAGTTACGTATACCATAGCCTCCAATCCACAGCATATGATTTTCTTATGAACTGCATTTCCGGACAAACAAATACAAAAACCTTATAGCAGGTGAATTTACTTCACTTTTTCTATTAATTGGGCTGAATTAAAGGCGGGATTATCACCAAACTCTTCTGATTACAAATTGCTGGAATCTACAATCTTATTAACTTTAGTCCAGAGCACTATAAATCTCACTGGATATCAAATACAACACTCTCCCTTTGTCCAGGGCCTAATCTTCACCAACAGAGACAGTGCCAGTTAAATTAAATGATTGCGTTGTCATAATATTTGAGTTCAATGTTGCTATGATCTATCAAGCAGGCTTGTGAACCCCCTAATATACGGAAGGGGAGACGTGAATGACTTTAGTCCTATTTCATTATAATCCAGGAGTAATAGTTGTTCATGACCTAAAGCTAATACTTTATTTTGACTTCATTTCTTATAAGTTTCCTGTAGCCATAATATTCGCATATTTATAAACGTCTTTCTTCTACTCTTTCCTATTTCGTCTTACATAGGTGTTGCAAATAGAGGCAGTAGTATACGTATTCCAAGACAAGTTGCTGAAAATGGTTGTGGTTATTTGGAAGATAGACGTCCATCATCCAATTGTGATCCATACATGGTCACCAGAATGTTAGTAGAAACAACATGTCTTTAATTATTTATTACCATTATTTACAAAATAATGAAAAACCAATTACACAACAAAGAAATTAATTTTTTGGGGGGGAACATAATGTTACTAAATAATCTCAAATATTTCCATACAAGTCTAACTTGATCACTTCATTTTGTTAGTGGTTACAATAAATTTAAAAACTGTATTTCTATAATTTTGATAACTGTTTTCATCATCATTAACTTTTCTCCGCTGTTCACGAAGTTATCATTATCATCATCATCATGAAAAGTGTATGCGAGAGCAGCAGTGTTGTTATTATTGATTTTTCAATGGTCGAACAATTTTTATTTTGTAGCATTTTTTATCATACAAATTTATAGTTTACTTAGTAAACTAATTATTGTCCCAGTTACAGTTTAATCATTGAACCATTCGCAATAAAGACATTAAGAGATCAGTCCACATTAAGAGATGTTGAATATTGATTAAAGAGTTTTTTTTAAACAAATAAACATATACACCATCTTTTCTGTTTGTAGTTTTATATTATTTATCATTTAAATTCATCGTTTGTGATTTATATAACAAAAATTGTTTTTTTTTTATTTTAAAAAGTTATGAATAAAAACGTTAAGAAACGAACCATGAAATTTAATCGTTTCTTGATCTCTTTTGATTTCGATTTTATAACAAACTTTAATTTTGAATATGATATCCATTGGAACCTGATGTCATTTGAAGAATCATTGAAAACAAGGGAATACTGGACAGTTATTCTATTCTGATTTTTAGCATTTCATCAGCTTACACTAATTAAAAATAAATATTAGTAGTAGCAGTGGTAACAGTAATTGTGGTGAGTTAATCAATACTGTGTTAAAATACAGCAAGGAATGTTCAATATAGGAGGTGTTTACTTGGAAAACTTCAACCACTTTTTTATGGGTTGAATGTTGAAAATATCACTACGATTTTATGGAAATAATATTTATGTTTGATCACAAATGTTATGCAAACATTGTGGTTTTTCCAGCTTTTTCGTTTCATAGCATAAATGTTAGTATGAGATATTGGGCATGAATCCTATTCTACTTGCTGCTGTTCTGCCATGAGATATACAATTAGATATATACAAATGGGGTGGCTCTTTCATAGAAGAACATTATCGACCACTTCATTCTAAGAATTCTAACTCGTGTCAACAATCACAGTTAAACGAGTAGCGCACAATGTGCTACTCAATACAGCATAGTCTTCGTTTAAAAAGTTGATAAAAATAGGAAGTTTGAACTCCACCAGTCAGAACTTCGGGACTTTATCTCAAACTAATCTTTGCAACCAACCGAATTCGTTTATGAGATAGGTGAATTTTGTCTGGTTATGAAATGAAGGACTTATGTTCCATTCTCGTCCACTGAATGTGCCTCCATCCTAGTGTTGACGTTTATATGAAGAATAAAATAAACAAGTGTCTATGTATGAAAAAGCACTGATACTTTCTTTTCTCTTACTTTCAAATGAAAAAACAAAAACACTAGCCCAATTTCGTAATATTATTCGTGATAAGACAATCTACGGATGGTATCAGTCATATACTGATTATTAAGAATGCGAGATGGTTCAGTGAAATTTTTCCAATAGATTTATTTTTTTAGTACGTATGTATATTCAATGAGTTAACTTCCAAAAGGAACAATTATAGTGGTAACAAAAAACAAGACAATTTAAATCATAAATACATCTGTTTATCATTTTTCAATCACCAGGAAGTGTTATTAACAGATAGTGTTGAAGGTTTCTCATAAAGTTTATAATTCTGATGAATCACTTTTACATCCATTTAAATTCAGTAATAATAACAATAATATTTTACCTCGCTAAGAGTAAATCATCTATGACGTTATCCATCTAGTGCTTATCTCAATAATACTGGGGCAAACAAAGAGCTCATAGAAATTAAATAATACTGTATAAAAAAGGACAATCCAGAATGTTCTGGACTTTGCTATATTTATATGAAAGTTGTGCGTTTTGGTAAAAAAGAACATCGTCAATGAATACTTGGCTACATTAGATGTTTACAGTTATATTCTGTAAAATTTTATGGAATATGATATGTGAAAATTATTAAGGCGGATCCTTCAGCAGAACCTATATTCACTACAGTCGATGCCATATTTACATTTTACAAAGCAGAAAGTAAATTACAAGTTAGATAAAAATTAAATTGTTGCATACTCATCGTGATCTGATTCTGTCATTCTTTTACATAAGATTGTATATCAATACTGCATATAAATTGAGATCAAGTTTGTGTTTTCTCATCATCATAACCAACGTGTAATACGGACGTGATTTTCATTACGAACTGGTATTATCCAGAGAAGTATTCGGAAAAAATCAGTCAAATGATAGTTGTTTTTTATCAATAGTAGTACTACTGATGTGAACGAAAACTTAAGTAGGGGAGACCATTTCAATATCTACTGCAAACTTACAGAGTATGTTAGTAAAGTATGGAAACCATACATTAAATACATCATTGCACACTTTCTATAAGTTGTCTCTTACGAACTTCATTGTTTCTTCATTCCTGTTGTTATTTTGATTGCTTTCAGTTTTCTACTCTCATCTCTTCATTTCAATCTACTCAATCTTCTGCTAGCAGGCATTCCACTTCCTATTGGTGCTACATGCTACTTATATCTGTCAACATAAGTAGCATACATCACACTACAAGTATACATTTAGGCTGTTTGCAGCTTATGAGAATCGTTGAAGTACAATAAATCCACGTTGTTCTCCAAATCTTATTCATCTTATTTTATTTAAATTTATCAAGGGATCAAAATGTAATATAGTTCTTGCTGGTTCAGGAGTTCAAGATCTTTAGAAATTTTAAAGAACACGATTCTGTTTGGGCGTATATTTTAATTCAAACAGGGGAGACAGTCACAAAACGACTGTCCATTATTATCACCTTTCTTTACATTCTATACCAAATCTTTTAGTTTTCAAGCCACTCAGTACCATTATCTTCAGGCTGTCATCTAGAGGGTTATGATAATGAATGAACGTACGTTAAATCTATCCAGTAACCTTTCATCAGAAAGGACCACATCATAGACTTTTCACCACTCCGTTTCGTCTCATCAGTCTCAAAGTCATTACTAATCATCTGGAATAACAGTCACTTGAATAAAATTCATGAAATACATTTAACACTACAGGAAAGATGCTTTCGGATAAGATCAGTTGTCAAGATCACTATTCAACATATCATATACACTTACAATCTGACAACTATTCAAAAATGTTGTCAATGTTTATGAGCTAACTTTATCAGACAGTCACGTCTGAATATCATAGAGATCCATCAAAAATCCTTGACTTAAATGCCTAGAAACTAATTTTCACTTAAATTTTTCCAAGTAATATATCTTTAATGTAGAAATCTTCAGAAGGGGATTTGTGGAGATTTCAGTATATTTCAAAGTTGAAATCATGAGCCAATCGAAGATAGACCACCATCGAAAACCTGGAAGTACTGGACGGCCGTTTCGTCCTATTATGGGACTCCTCAGCAGTGCACATCCACGAACCCGCTCTCGCGAGCGAGATTCGAATCCAGGACCTACCAGTTACGAGCCAGAGCCCTTAACCGATAGACCACTGAGCTGGCATCCAACAGTGTTAATGTCTAACTTCAAAAATCTTCAGAAATCTTCATTTAGTTTAATAATAATGGTTAGAATTGTAAACATCATATCGTTTTCAAAATATAAATAAAATGTGCAATTTACTGGGGGTTTTTTCACATATATATCCCCTTTTTTATTATGCAATAACGTAAACAACTTACCTTTGATAAACAATACGATTATGGACAGTATGCACACTTTGTAATTATAAATCTTGTAAGAAAAAAAAATTGTTATTCACCACATTTATACTTAATTACTTAACTAGTGTAGATAAATTTCAAAGTGTCAAAATATAGAACTGTGTATCTAATTCATGTAAATTTAATTTTACACAATTAGATCACATGTCATTTATCCCAAGGAAATTTATTTTCACAACACTTCCATTATTGTGTAGTTTACATTGGTAGAAGGCAGAACTTATATTTCATCTTATATGTGATTCTCAACTTACATTTAATTGTAATCTACAATATTTTCATAGTTGAAATCATGAGTCAATTGAAGATAGACCACCATCGAAAACCTGGAAGCACTGGACGGCCGTTTCGTTCTATTATGGGACTCCTCAGTGGCAGTGCCCGTCCACGATCCCGCCTCGCGAGATTCGAATACAGGACCTACCAGTTCGAATCTCGCGAGGCGGGATCGTGGACGGGCACTGCCACCGAGGAGTCCCACAATAAGACGAAACGGCCGTCCAGTGCTTCCAGGTTTTCGATGGTGGTCTATCTTCGATTGGCTCATGATTTCAACCTTGAAAATACTGAAATCTTCACAAAACTCCTTCTGAGTATTCTACAGTGTTAAATGAATATTGATCAATGAGTGAAATTTAACTGTCATAGTTTATTTATTTTAAGTAGACAGTTTCTCTAGAGTATGAAGTAGTGTGTTGATCTCTAATGTTAGTGGAAACAATGGGATAAAGATACAGATTTAAGGCAAATGTTAAAATACGAATGCGTAGTCTTTATTGAATATTGTTGGAATATAATCAATATTCATATAAAGTCTTTGATATAAAAAAGCGATATAAAAGTGATTAGTTTGAGAAAGGTAAAAGAAGAACGCTACAAGACTCACTGACAGTGCAAATTTATATTTTTAGTCAATGGTTCAAAGGTAGAGCATGAAGGTGCCTTTGTAATGTTAAGTAGATGTTATGTATCATACGGATTGATAAAAACGAGAATATACACAGGTTCGGCTTTCTCTCATCCCAAGAGTATAAATCATTAAATTACATTTCCGATAGCCCATGGAACAATGTTAAATTTTATTGATAGTGAACTTAATGAAAAATATCTTGTCAAAAGTTTGAATTGAGTCTGAACTAAGATCTAAATGTAGATTTCATGCTGTTTGAAATTTATTAGAAATGGTCACCTGGGACTCCGATAAATATATTACAGTTAGATCTGTACACCATTCCATGGTGTTTTATTGGACTAGATATAAGGCGTCCACTGCAAAACTGAAGGTCCTGAGTTTTGTAAGCACTAATGTGAATACCCATTTTAGGATGGGATGGATGTTTGATGTTTCCTGGTTTGTCGGGGTATTGTAACTAATGTCAGTTTGTGATATAAACTATAAAAATATATTCATTCAGTATTGTTTGTTTGAATCTTCCTATCGATTTGTTAGGACTGCAACTGGTCAGTGGCTATCAGGACTCAGTGGCCGAGTGGATAACGCGACGGCGTTTGAAGCGAGGGTACTGGGTTCGAGTCCCAGAGTGAACATCAACTCTGAGATACAGGTACATCCATCTGACGAGTCCCAAATAGGACGAAACGCGCGTCCTGAATTCCACTGCTAGCCACTATCCATCCGTATTTCCGACCCTACCAGGACCTTCGGTCTCACGATGTACACCTAACCTCAAGGCCATTAAGCCAGCATGTAATGCTGTGTATAGCTAACCTTAACCGATTTGACGATATTGAAAGACCATAGAAATAGTGATCATAATTCAAATGATTTTTAACCATTTATTTTCGATGTTCATGATTTCGGGTGTATTGGATCAACACATTTTGTATACCTTTACAATCTATTGACTGATAAATTAGAATTTAACAACTGTCCAGTACCGTCTGGTGACAGTTTGTCATGAAAACCTTTGTCACATTACGAAAAATTTGCATA